TAGTGCTTTACTGTGCCCTGGTTGATACATCCCTTTTCTGTGACCCCTCTGTGAGGGGATGTCCCATTGTCTTCTGATGAGCTTTGGGTCTCTGCTCCGACCCCCCTCATTCTCAACAATATGGTGTTTTGTTTGTTTGTTTTGGGTCTTCTGATGCCTGTTACCTGGACCAGTTGACACCTCAGGCTGGTGTGCTTCTTCCATGTGGGCTTGTTGTTTCTCTGCTAGATGGCTGCTTTCTTTTTTTTCCCTCTCTCTTTTTTTTTAATCATTTTATAGCTTGCTTAACTTCAAGCCTTTAAGACCCCAAATGCTATATCTTTTGAAAACTGGGCACCATCAACTTTCTTTACCACATTTGATTATGCACCCATTTTGTCTTCAGCGATTGTGCTGGGAGGGTGAGCATCACAGAATATCAGTTTGTTAGAACAAAGTGTTCCTGCATTGAGGGAGGGTATGAGCAGAGGCCTGAAGTCCATCCTCTACTGTAGTATTAGGATTGGGGGGACCTGCCCCCCACCACTACCCTCAGGTTCAGTAAGCACAATTGTTTCAGTTGAGATATATAAATATTATATTAAAATCATTGAGAGCATGAGCGAAAGAAGAGAGAGTCAACCAATGGAATCAGACACATTTTATGGTAGCATTGCTCACCTCAGCCCTGCTTGATAGTCTCCGTGGAGAGAGGGGGAAGGGAAAGAGGACAAGGGAACAAGGTAGAGAGGACGGGAGAGGTGAGGGGAAATGAGGAGAGAGAGCAAGGGTGAGAGGAGGAGAGGGAGATCTCTATTGCTAACCCAGGCCTATATACCTTTTGGGGGCGTGCAAGCCCACTAATTACAGGTAAGACATACATCACAGGAAGGGGTTGCACTATAAGTAGTACAGCAATGAGAGGGGGTGGTCTAGGGACATACATGCAATACGAAGAGGAGGGATTGGGGGTGTACATGTAGCAAGATGGGTGGATCCTAGGTACAGGATGGCAGCCTAATTTTGGATGTCACAGAGCCTGTTTCACTTGTTCCTGGCTCAACTGATAAAGACCATTATCAGTAGGGTGTGAACTCCACCTACAGGAGCCTGTCCATTGTCCCCAGTAGCAGGGAGCAGGCCCACCCCTGTGCTGGGGCGGGCCAGCAGTATGACCTCCCCCCACACCCTTGTATATTCATGAAGTGCAAATCCTGAAAATTTCTTTCTGTGGTAGATCAACATCTGCTTCTTCTATGCACACCGTTAGGTTCAAGACTTCTTCTGACATTGCCTTTTGTTTCTGCTGTTGTTTTTGTTGAGTTTGTTGGGGCTGGTTGGTGTTTGCATGTCATTTTAGAGGAGCCCTGAGTGTCAAAGAGCATTGGGCTATCTCTTTGGGAGACTCATAGGAATGCTTCTTCGAACTGTCTGCAGCTAACTGCGTCTGGGGGGGTGGGGGTGGTAGTTTCACTCTTTCCCTAGTCAACCAGTATTCTGCTATGCGGTGCTCTACACCAAAGCAGGCACACCCACCCGCCCTTGGCAGCACTCCTGTTGCAACGGGTACCCCTTCATGCCCTCCGAGGTGCTCCAAGCCACCACAACTTCCTGTGAGCTACTCCAGCACAGCACCAACCTCACAGGCCAGCAACTGCCTGATGAGCATTTCCTGAGAGGGTCATCCAATTTGCTTGCTAAAGCAGAGGGACAGCAGACAAAAGGAAGACTTCCAACAATATGAATTGACATAGTGGCTGAAAAAAATTGACATGGGGGCTTGAACATAGCAGGAATTTGAGGATGGTACTAGACCAGGCAGTGTTTTATTCTGTTGCACATAGGTTGGCTATGAGTTGGAACTGATTCAATGGCACCTAACAACAGTAACAAGAATCTTTATGGAAGCAAAGAACAAAGAACCATATCTTTGTTCTGTGGAGCAGTTGGTGTGTTTGAATTGCTGGCCTTTCTTTGAGTAGCCAAGTGATCTAAGCAATGTACCTCTAGGAATTCATATCCCTAATAAAACCAAAAAACCAAACTCACTGCTATTGAGTTGATGATGACTCATAGCGACCTTACAGGACAGAGTAGAATGCTGCGGTAAGTTTCCGAGACTGTAACTCTTGCAGGAGTAAAAAGCCCTGTCTTTCTGCCATCAACCTGTTGTTGGTTGTGAATTGCTGACATTACAGTTAGCAGCCCAACCCATAACCACTGTACTACTAGGACTACTTTATCCCTATTTAATCCTTGACTAACCTTATACCTAACCCTATACCTAGCCTTAGCCTTAATTCTGTCCCTATCCCATATCTTAACTTGGACTTTACATTAACCCTAGCCCTAAACCATCCATAGCCCTACTCCTGGACTAAGCCCAAATCCTACCCTAACCTTAATTCTGCTTCTAAAACTACCTAATTCTAGTTCTAGCTTTAATCCTAATTCTATCTCTTATATAACATGCCCTAACCCTATTCTAAGGAAACATGGTGAGTTAAGAACTGGACTGCTAGCCAAAAGGCCAGCAGTTTGAATTCACAAGTTACTCTGAGGGAGAAAGATGAAACTTTCTATTCTCATAAAGATCTACAGCTTCAGAAACCCACAGGCACAGTTTTATTCTGCCATAAAGGGTTACTGTGAGAATAAATTGACTCAATGCTGGTGATTTCGGATTAGAGAAACTTATGCCACAAAGGATAAAAAAATCATGTACATGTATATTTGAGTCAAATAAATTAATTTGTTCATTTAGAAAATTATTAATGAAGAAAGCTATGAATATTAAAACATTTGTTTAAAATATTTGTTTGATATGATCAAAGTTTTTGTTTATTTGCAACTGAAAAACAGCTTTAATGTCAAATAGCCTATGGAATAAAAAATTAACTTTTAAGATAACAAAATTTTCTTGGTTATTTAGTTGAAGATCAAGAACAGGGCACATTCTTCCCCCTTGAGAATCCCTTCATATTAACCTGAGAACTTAAATAGCTACCAAGACAAAAATAGAAAGGAAAAAAAAATCTAGCTACAGTCAGAATTTACCTCCACCCTTTAAGTTCTACTGACCTCCTGATGAGAGCAAAACAGCACTCCCTTGCAAGACGTTGAACTACCTTGAAGAGGTGGACACAAGAAACTCATTTTGGAAAAGAAATGAAAGTACAATATTTATGCCCAGCCTAAAGGTTGAGCCACTGCCAAGAACTAACAGATGGTCTGAAGAGCCACCAGAGAAAATCTGGGGGAACCCCGATAAGACTTCGCAGGATGGAATTTCCAGAATGATGTCAAACGACCAGCTGAACTGCCTATATAAACTCGGGTAGAGACACTGACTTTTCAGAGAGCGAGGAGCCAAGGAGACATCAACTCCTGCTCTAGAGCGCCAACTCTATCCGGAGAGAGTACACCGATGAAGGCAATGCTTACTGGGATTATGATGCTGAAATAATAATGTGTGTAGTATGTTGCCCTTATACTTTGACATGTGCCTTAATATTCTTATACTTGATAATTTGAGTTAATTTTAGAATTATTAAATTGTTTAGTGTCTGTGTGTGCAGTGAATAAACCAAGCATTCGAAAATGTTAGAGTGTTAAGTAATTATTGATCGTGCCACTTGTGACACCTCCACTCTGTGAAAAGTATCCCTTGCCTCACTAATCCCTAGGAGTTTTCAATAAAATCACCCAGAGGTCAGAAACCTGCAGAAAATTGTTAATAGAGACCTTAGGTTTGAGCATCTGTAAAGGAAAGATGTTGTTGATCAAGCTGGAAGCAGCAGTGCATTTAAAGAAATGAGAATTAACCATAACAATAGTCAATGGCAGAAGCCTAGAACTTCCCTTATGATAGGGACAGATTCTTTGAATTCTAGAGCCCTCCTCTAAAGAAACCTCTAGAAAAAGTGATTCCAAAGTGTGGGACACCTCCACCCTAAAAAGGACCAGTAACATTGCACTATCCTCATAAGACTTAAACCAGACACCCCTGATACAATCACAAAAGTATGCCATATTTTAACACCAGATACCCTTTGCCCCTTCAAGCAGCAAAATTGGAATGTAATTGCATGGACAATTGGGGAGGTTTGCTCCAACAGGCCCGACCTAAAAGAGACCCATTAGATAATCCTGATAGTGGCTCACTTATTCTGACACCAATGGTTCTTTCCACAACACTCTACTTCTATGGTGGGTTCAATAATTCATTGCAATGGTCACAAAAAGTGTTTGTTCCTGAGGTTTTGGGATTCGCTACCCTACACATAACTCATTAAGGGGGGGCCAGGGCGCCGGGTGGAACCCACTAAGACAGTGGTTCTCAACCTTCCTAATGCTGGGACCCTTTAATACAGTTCCTCATGTTGTGGTGACACCCAACCATAAAATTATTTTCGTTGCTACTTCATAACTGTAATTTGCTACTGTTATGAATCATCATGTAAATATCTGATATGCAGGATGTATTTTCATTGTTACAAATTGAACATAATTAAAACATAGTGATGAATCACAAGACAATATGTAATTACATATTGTGAAATATTTATTTCTAATGACAAATAAATGAAATTTTGTCTTGAAGCATGGTGTAGCATGGCTAACAGTCTTCCCGCAGGTCGGATGCTCCTACGTGGTTGTATCTGCATGTGGGCGGACCCGCCTGGAGACGGATAGAGGAGCGGTGTCTCGGTTCCTAAAACCGTCGGAAATAGGTGTTTTCCGATGGTCTTAGGCGACCCTGTAAAAGGATCCTTCGGCCCCCCAGAGGGGTCGCGACCCCCAGGTTGAGAACCACTGCGCTAGGAAGCCGTCTCTAACAGCCACCCTCAACCAATCACGGGTTTTACTCCGTTTTTTTTTTCCTCCCTACGTCTCTGGGCGGGACCCTTTCTTTAGCCGCTCGGTTTCCCGCCGAGCCGTAGAGGCCGTGCGCAGAGCCGTTTCCGTTTCCGTTTCCGTCGCGTTCCAGCCGCGCCGGAGGAATCGTGGTCGTCGTGGAGTCTGCTAGCTGCGGCGTCCTGGGACACCCGCTTCCTGTGAGTCCCGGGGTGGCGGTTCTGGGAGGATTGATGTCACACACTTGACTGAAGTTCTCGCGTACAGTCTTTCTCTCTGGGTGCTTCGTATGGATCTGAACTGAACACATAACCTTGTTCATGCCGGAGAAGCCTGAGATTTGGGGGAGAAGTGAATTTATGCTGAATCCGATCGGGGACAGTGGATCACGGGGAATAGTAATTTTTTGGCAGGACGCTAGGCCTAACCAGATATGTGGTCGCCGAATTGTACTTTTGCCATTCGTAAGGTGACCAGATTTAAAGCGGGACACCCTTGACCGGGGGTGGGGGGTGGGGGGGTGTTCCTGATTAAAAATTTAGTCTATATTGACCAAATAGACCGCTCCCTAGCTTGTCGTGCATTCTTTCCAAAAATCGGGACTTTTAAAAAACGCCAAAAATCGGGATGTCTGGTCACAGAGGAAAGTTCGGGACCAAAATAAAACTTTTAACCTCATATCTTGTTCAGACCCTGTGGGACAGAGGGAACCTGTTCCATATTGTTTATGAGGCTGTAGAAAACTCCCGTTCTTTCAAGAGGGGCTAGTGGGTTCAAACTACTGATCTTTCAGCTAGCCCCACGTACCTTCAAAATTATGTAGAGAAGAAAAATAATCTCTTAAAGTCACCACTGACCGGTGTTAAGCATAACTAGCACCTTCTACCTTTGAGGTAACTGCACTTTGATACTGTGCTAAGACAAAACTAGATACCCTGGAGGGACCCGTGACTCAAGACGACAACCCGTGTATTTCAGACTAGACTGGTGTTCCATGGGCTTTCAATGACTCTTTCAGAAGTAGGTCGTCACATCTTTTTTCCCAAAGGAAAGTCTAGGTGGATTGGAACTGCCAACCTTCCAGGTAGTAGCTAGACACATTAATCTTTTTTTAAAAATAATCATTTTATTAGGGGCTCATACAACTCATCACAATCTGTACATACATCATCTGTGTCCAGCACTTTAGTACATATGTTGACTTCATCATTCTTACGACACCCACTTTCCACTTGAGCCCCTGGTATCAGCTCATCTTCTCCCCCCCTCCCCCTGAACCCCCGATAAT